GAATTGTTGCCTAAAGAGCGAAAGAAAAATTTTTTTTTTTTTTTTATTTTTTAAAAAAAACCCCAAAAAAAAAAAAAAAAAAAAAAAAAAAAAAGGAGTCTGGGGCAGGAAGTATTCTCCTTGGCATGACGACCTACAAATGTCCTCGGGTGACCCTGCTTTTAGATGTAGTTGTTGTTGGGCTCAATCCGGTTCACCACGGAGGAAACTAGCCGCTCCATCTGTTCCGCTCGCTGTTTGCCCGTCTGAAGGACTTCCTCGTGGTTGGCCTTCTCCTCACTGCCGTAGTCCATCACCGCCAGGTTGGTGATCAAAGACAGGGCGACCACACGCATGCCGCAGTGGCGGGCAACGATCACCTCGTGGACGGTGCTCATGCCTAACAGAGATGATGATTTAAAAAATGAGCTTATTGGTTGGAAACCATAAGGCGATCGTAATCTGTCTGGACTCTAAAGTTTATGGGAAAGCTTTCAGGAGGTTAAGTTGAAACTATACACCTCTCTAAAAGACTCTCATCTGCCCTTCCTTCCTGGAAATTGAGAATACGATTACATTTATCGACTACTTTGAGATTGTATCTTTTTATGTAGCTCAACTATCAGCAACTTTGCTTTAATAAATGCCAGCACAATTGAAGCTTATCAAGCTCTGCAAACACTACCCCAACAAAGCTCCCAAGGAAATCCTGAGAATTGCCAAACTGAAGGGATTGTCGCGAGCAGAGAGCCCTTAGTTCAGTGGTGCCCAAAGTCGGTCCTGGAGGGCCGGCATCCTGCATGTTCTAGTTCTCTCCCTGGTGATAGTAACAACCTCCTCAGCATGTCTATGTTCCTCTTAGGTCTCAAATGAGCCATCATTGGATCCAGGTGCGTTAAACCAGGGAGAGAACTAAAACATGCAGGATGCCGGCCCTCGAGGACCGACTTTGGGCACCACTGCCTTAGTTCTTCTAAACATGCCACTCAGGTGATCACTGGAGTTAGTCACCTTTATTGGTGCCATATAATTGTAATTATGACTCATAAACATCTACTCACCAACCGCATCAACACCCAGCAAGTGGAGCATTCGGCACTCTGCGATCGTCTCGAATGACGGGCCGCTCAGCACGCAGTACACTCCCTCCTTCAAGAAGGCTCCGTACCCCAGCTCCTGTCCTACTTCCATGGCCAGCTGCTGCAGGTCTCGGTCGTAGGCGTCAGACATGCAGGGGAACCGCACGCCAAACCTGCGAAAGGGGGCGGGGGGGAAAGGTGCATTGTTGAGTAACAACAGTCTGCAAAACTGTCCAGTGGCGAGTCAGTAGATGCAGGAGAGTTGTGTTTACCTTTCATCATTGGGTCCAACCAGCGGGTTGTTGCCGGCGAACCCTGGCAGGTTGATGTGGTCTTTGATGATCATGATGTCGCCCACCTTAAAGTCTTGGTTCAGGCCTCCGGCAGCGTTGGTGATCACCACTGTCTGGACACCAAGCAGCTTGAAAATGCGCATAGGCAGAGTGATCTGGGAAAAAAAAACAAAAAAACACACAAACCTCAGTTTAAAGTTGGCTCGGATGCTTTTTGATCCAGATTCTACAAGAAATCCAGGCTGGAGGAGGACAAACTTACCCTCTGGATCGGATAGCCTTCGTAGAGGTGGAAGCGGCCCTGCATGCAGACACAGGGTTTTCCCTTCATGGTGCCGAACACCAGCCGTCCCGCGTGTCCGTGCACTGAGGAGAAACCACAACCGGTCTGTAAATATCGTGCAGCACATGGTGGCCCCGTCTGAGGGGGTTTCGTGTGACGCGGCTCACCGGTGCTCTGAGGGAAGTTGGGGATGTCCTTGTAGTTGAAGGCCACCTGGTCCTTCAACAGATCGGCCAGCCCTCCGAGGCCCGAGCCGCACACGATGCCCACGGTGGGGCGCATGTCGATCTGCGCCAGCAGCCAGTCAGCGGTGGCCTTGCAGTCTTCATAGCTCAATCTGGATGGGGTTGACACACACAAAAAAGGGCAAAGATTAGCATGATGGCGAATGAGCATGAAGTCGACCAATGAAGGAAAATTGCATGTGGCTTCCATGCACTTTTCTTCAGGCTTAAGGTTTAATCTGAGTGAAGCTATTTATAAATTCTGACCTTTTATGTTGCTGCTCCCATCAAATCCACTGGGTAATACATTACAACTAATTTTCTTATAGTTTTTATTTATGTTGTATATAAAATATCTGCTCAAAAATGACAGTAGTATATTCCACTAAATTCTAACCTTGAGTATTTTTATTTCTACGTGACTTAACTTGGAGATCAAATTAAATGTACTGCATTAAATGTCTTTAAACTTCTAATGTCTTTGGCCCTGAACACATCTCGGTGCCATCCCCCCTCACCCTCTATCCATGCCCACACATTCCTGAACCCTATTTTTTGCTCCAGGAAGGACCCACGTGTCCAGCAGAATAAGGAAAGCTATCTTTTTAAGTTATCACTCACCCGTTGTTCGACTCTGGAAACATTTCGGAAGGTTGAATTAAAAGTTTGGTGAAAATAAAAAGGGAAAACAGTGGACTGTGAGCTCCAAAACACGGGGGGGGGGGGAAAGTTTATGAATAATCGGTGAATCTTCGGTCTTTGAAAGTTTCCTTAAGCCTTGAAATCCTGTGGTTGAGTTTTGAATGTCTGTCCTGATCCTCTCGCCGGGTTTATATTACAGACAGAGGGAGCGCTCCTCCCATGCACCGAATCACGCCTGAAGAAGCTGCAGCGTCATTGGTCGAATAGACACACCTTCAAAATAATGTACACTGAAAAAAAGAGGGGGAAAAAATCGACCAAAAAAGTCCAACTTGGTTCAGTCCACTCCCTTTACAGCAGGAGCGTCAGCACTTGCGCCAGCAGAAACATGTGCACACCTCGCCGTCAGCAGGAAGTTGTTTTGCAACTTTCACCGTGTTGCTAAGTGAATGATCAATCGGGTCTTTATGGACTTGGTGTGCGTTGCCGTTTCTCCGATGCGGGACAAGATAAGCCTGGAGGATTCAGCATGACATGCGAAATGTTTTGTTTTCAGCAACACGTGGATTCTGATTCATGATCGTGTTGTGGGAACATTTTGTGCTTTCCATCACAAGCTTTTTTTTTTTAAGTGCTTTATCACACGAGTGTTTTATGGGACCATTTATCAACACTTTCCCCACTCAAATAAAACACATTTTTTCTTAAAACTTGTTTAAAGCCACAAATGTTGCATTAACATTTCAATTTTTTTTAATAAATAAAGGAAATTTGTTGTAATTTTTAAAGAATCACAGTTTTATTGGTATTTTTAGGTTGTTGACTGAAAAAAACAACAAAATAAGAGGATGGATGTATTTTCTTCATGTGAAAAATGAAGCAAAGCACTTTCCACCCTATATGACAGGAGAAATGTAAAGAAAAAAATATTACTGGTTACTTTCAGTGTTAAATTCAAAAACTGATGGAGCTTTCATTTCTCATACTTATTTTTTTAAAGTTTCTTTTTGTCTAACATGGATGCAACAATACATAATTTGTCAGAAAGAATTATAGTTAACAGTCTGAATCGTTTGAATAGTTTGATTTTCTTGTTTAAAATGTGCTTGCATTGTTTTCTTTAGTCTTTCAGCAAGGTAGTTTTTGAAAAAAATGTCCTCAGTTATTTGCAGAATTCAAATGGGAGAACCAGCCAAACAGATTTCCAGTCACAAAGTAAAGTCTCTCCCCATGACGGAGACAGAAGGCCGAGACCTGAACACGGAACGGAAACCCAAACTGGTTCTGAGAAAGTAAACAGTGTCTGACCCATCGGGTGTTTCCTGCTCCCTATTTTGTCGTAATGACAGATAAGGCCGTGATCTGTCACCCGAACCTCCGGGCTTTATACTTTGATCAATTCTTTGTGTGTGTTTCCAAACTTTTACAAAAGATAAATCTGGTTTTTCAAAGTTCAAATTCTGTGCATGAACTCAGTTTGCTTTTCCGCAACAGGAACATTTGATGAGGTTTGATCTTCATGAACTAAAGGAAACTTTGATGTTCATTCGCCAACTTACATTTTTACGTTTTTTTTGTTAATGTCTTTGTAATTACTTAACCATTTTTTTTCTTTTTGCAACTAGATGACATATAACCATTCCATATAATCCTAGCAAAACTAAATATCGGTTATATGATCAATTACTCTTGTGTTTTTTTCCCCCATAATGTTAGAATAGAATAGAAAAATCCCTTATTGTCTCACAATGGGAAACAATTCTGTGCAGCAGCAGCAGCAGCAGCAGCAGCAGCAAAGTGACTCACACAAAGATAGAAAATAACAAATATTCTACAGTAAGGGCAACATTTCAACATAAATCTAAAAGTGCTTAAAATTTAGACTCCCTGATGGAGCAATTTTATGCCTCACACAGATATTTAAATATTTGAAACAGCTGATAATAAAGTTGCTCCAACACTCAACAGTGTAATAAAGTGACTCACATCATTGTATGCAGTGGAAATAAGAGCGGCTTCCTTCATTAGCATCCAAACCATCATAATCTCCCTCCGGAGCAGATAAAGCATCGGCACTAGGTGTGTTTATGATGTTTCCTGCGCTGAGGGAAAACGTTGAGCGTTGTAATGTGTGTATTTTACTCATCTGCTGCCGGTAAGCGTTCATCTGTGTGTTCGAGAAACTTCCTGCTTGAAGTCAGTAAAACAAAGAAATTGCAAGTCAAGAAGCAATAAAATGTTTGAAGGCATGTTATAAAACTTTTTGAGGTGACTGCCAACCCGGCTGGTCAGCGCGTCCTTTATCTGATTTACAGTTTTGAATAACAACAACAACAACAACAACAACAACAGGAGACGCTTTTAGTGGAGGAAGGAAGAAAAGAAGGACCTTGGAAGTTGTTGTGCAATATGAGTTGATTGTCTGTTTGGGGAGTCTGAGTAAAATAGAGTGAACTTTCAATAAGTATTTCCTTTTCATCAATCTCATTGTTAAAATTCGCATTCTGAGAAACCTCTCAGAGAGATTTCATGCGGCAGATGTCACAGCTTTTCAGAAGTTTACCACAATATGCACTTGTGGTAAACGTGTGAAAAGCTAAAAGATGTATCCTGACATCTGAGATGTGATGACTCTGAGGTGAAACCATCATCTGCGGTTCTCTCCTGGTGAGCTTTGGCGGTTTCTGTTGCCCCTCTTACCATCCCGTTCACTGCATTCGATGGCCAGATAAACTCTGCAATTTACTGATCTGACTGTAGATATTGGGAAGCTTTTTTTTTAAGGCGTTCTTTTCTTGTAGCTGTTTGACTTCCAAAGATCACAACACATTTATCTCAGGGAAACAGGAAGTCATGGAAACTAACTGGAAGTTCAGAAAATACTCATCAAATTAATCAAAAAGGAACTACAGGTTGTGTTAAACTACAGGATCACTGTAGTTTAACACAACCTGAGTTATTTTTTTGTGTTGCAAAACCTCCATTTGCAGATTACATGACGCTTAAGATGAGAAGACTTGATGGAATGATGTGTGACCATGATGCAGCCCTGTGAAATGGTAGAAAAGACTCTTTACATCATATGGTGGCTTCATGACTACCAGTTGACGGATGCATTTGTCACTCGGGGAATGCGTTGCTAAACGGCGAGTTAGAGACACCCGGAAGACGCTGTGAAACGCACTGGAATCAATCAGTGGGTTAAAATAAGACTCAAAGCAAATGGTTAAGATGCTTAAGCCGATCTTTATCGTCGGTAAACGGCAACACGACTCATCAAGGACTCAACCAATGATGAGCAAACACGCCACTATCAGAGATGAGATAGCTGCCCATTACGCTGCTGTAAAGATTGAATGATCTCAAATTTTAATGGTACATTACGCTCCAGCCCAAGAGAACGTTTGCAATGCTGCTGATAACTTATGTACCAACTTACAGCCTCTATCACAAGCTCAAGTGGAGAGAAGTCACATGTGGAGTACCCAAAGGTTGAGACCTTGGGCCCCTCTTGTTTAATAAATACAGTACAAACTCCCTCTGGTTCAGGTTATATAAGAAATAATACAATTAGTTACCATAACTACACGGATGATGCACAGCTCAGCATTACAATGTTATCAGGTGACTCTGAACCCATCCAAATACCAAACAGAAAGAAAAACAATCAATGTGTGCCACAACTTTCTCCAGCTCAACAAAAACAAAACTGAAGTTATTATTATCGTTGGACAGGGAGTTATTACAGCTAGAAGCCAGCGATCGGGCCGAAGATCTGGGTGTGACGATGGACTCTGAAATGAACCTTCAGAGCCACATAAAGATAGTCACAAAGTCGGCCTTCTATCACCTGAAGAACATTTCCAGGATTAAAAAACTAATGTTCCAGCTAGATCTAGAGAAACTAATCCAGGCTTTTTATTTTTAGTGATTTAGTGACTGATTACTGCAACAGCGTCTTCACAGGTCTGCCTAAAAAAATCCACTCTCCAGCTGCAGCTGATCCAGAACGTTGCTGCTCACGTTCTCACTAAAACCAAGAAGACAGAGCACATCACCCCAGGTTTATAGTTTCTGCATCCCCAGAACCAAAAGTAACAGTTTTTATGGGCCACAAATCTGGAACAAACTTCCAGAAAACTGCAAAACTGCCAAAACTCTGAGACTAAGCCCCCTTCCCCAGTTTAGAGTTGCAGTTAATTAATTACTGGATAAATATATTTGATGCATATTTGCTGGTTGATCTTGATGACATTATTTTTTTTTTTAACAAAATCTAATGTTTATTGCTTGTTTCATAATTGGTTACAGTATTACGTTTTTATGTTGCAAAGCACTTTGAACAACTATATTTGCTGTGCAAATAAACTCAACACTGTTTGAGTTATGGCTTCTGTATATCTTCTGCTATTCCTATGGAAGGTTGTTAACTCTCACTTGATAACACACAAAGTTCTTTGACTTGCTGACCTCTCCGCTCCTCCCCAGGTAAAGCAAACACGCCTCCGGCTCAGCCAATCAGTCGGGGCCGTCTGACCAGCAATCAGAGGTTTCATTCAACCTCTGAATGACACGGCAATAAAAAACAAAAAGGTCCTACAGCGACTGACAGGGCGAAACAGGAAAACCTGCAAATCAACATCTGGTTAGAAATGTTGGTTTTCATTTTAAATGCTTCACAAGCTGAAGGATGGAACGATGAATGGAGTTTAAATTTGTTTCCATAAAATCTTCTCTGTCAGATTTTGTTACTTTAAATCAGTTCTTCTTTAGTCCTTTGGTTTGCAGACGCCACATGAAAACAAGCACTGTTCAGCACACACTGTTAGCGTTGCTCGACCTCGCGTAGCCTGACCGGACACGCGGCTGATCATGCCTCCACCTCAACAACAGATTCAAAGCAGCAAACCGATTGGTTTCAGGACAGCTCCTTGGCAGGGTCTAGCACATTCTCTTTCCCTACAATCAGAAAGCACTTTTGGGGTCACGTTTCAAAACTAGTGGTAAACGTTTAATTGCAGTTTTTTTTTTTTTTTTTTTAACATGTGCTTTGGGCCTCCATTGAACCATCAAACATAGATGGAGAACCTCTTGCTAAGAGGCTGCTGGACCCAAACTGCAACATTTCTTACATTTTCAGCTGCTGCGGTTTGCTTTCACGCTGCTCTGTGTCAAACGATCCAAACTAAGTCAGAAACCTGTTCCCCTTCTTGCCAGTCAAATGTTTGGCATGACAACATGAAGCTTTTTTTATCTTAATGGGTTTTTTTTTTTAACTTAGAAAATAAGATTAAGTTAACTTTTGTTACATTTAAGTGGAAAGATTTACTTTTTAAGCTACCATTTTACCTACATTTTTGTTAGGAATAAACAACGTAACATTATACTGACAGCCGGAAATAGCAGAGGTAGTGTGATGGTCTGTTATGAAATTTAATCTTTTTTTTTTAAACTACATTTATCAGATATTTAAATTTACTTCATGAACTGAAACTTGACCTACATTATGTTTTTGATGAAACATTTAAGTGAAAAAAAAAAAAAAA